TTTTTTTTTGTAACACTCGGGTTGGTTTACAGTTTTGGCGTCACACAGCGAGTGCTCATTCAACGTGGATTTGCGAGCGCTAGTGTGCTGGGGTGAGTGGTCATACCACTTTCACTGCTGGCCAATGACCTTTTCACCAAAGAAAAAATTTGATACCTGACTGGCTCCGTACGGCACTCACTCTTGCCGTCTCAGATGGGTTAGTGCAATAACAGTGGTCTACTCGCCGCTGCTTGCTATTCCACTGCAAATGCTCGTCCTTCGCTGGGGGAACAGGATCACAGGACAGGTCGGCGCCATTCTTACGGGTACAGGATACATCGCCACTTCTTTTTGCTTTTCTCAGCAGTCTAAGGGAGCTTCGAAGCTGGCGCCTCTGTTCCTTGCCCAGAGCCTGTTTGGGGTAGGATACGCTTTCGTCTTTTGGTACGTAGCTTCTGCCCCTTTGGTTTGCTGGTCTGGTCTCCTTCAAATTTGTGGATTGGAGCTGACACGCGTTTAGGACCTCCATGGTGCAGGTCTTGCAACTCCATCGCTGCCCAGTGGTTTCCTGCACGGCGTGTCGGACTAGCCATCGGCATCGTGTACGCTGGGAGCGGCCTCGGCGGTGCCTTCTTCTCCATTCTGCTCTCGCAACTTGTCGAGCGCATTGGCCTCGAGAATGCACTGAGGGCCTACGGCGCACTTGCTTTGGGAACGCTGGTGCCTGCGAGTGCGTTTTTGAAGACAAGGCAGGCAGAGAGGGGTCAGGAGATGAAGATCCACTGGCACCTCGCGAGGGACCGAAAATTCAGCTTTCTGTTCGGCGCGACCTCACTCGTGACATTTAGGTGAGCATATCACGCGGATTTGTCGACGAGAGCAGTGGGGTACAAGGGGAGGGGCAAGTGCTGAACGTTCCGATCGGGTGCGAGGCCAGCCTCTTCGTGCCGCCTTTTTTCCTACCAACATACGCGTCTTCCGCTGGCTTTTCGCCTAATGTGGGCGCATGGCTTGTAGCCGGTGAGCTGCGAAGGGAACGCATCGAATTCTCGCGCTTAAGGCGATGTCTTAGTCTCTCTCATTGATCGCAGGCTACAATCTCAGCAGCGCCGTGGGGCGTATCCTCTTCGGCATCCTCTCTGATAGCCTCCTTGGGCCCGTGACGACGCTGACGCTCTGCATCTTTCTCTTTGGAGCGACGATCCTCTCGATCTGGCTGCTAGCAGCGTCCTCGCTCGTACCACTCATCGCGTTCATCCTACTGAATGGCGCCGCGGGCGGAGCGCTGCTCTCGCTGCAGCCAGCTGTCAGCGCAAGTGTTTGGAGCGAACATGGCGGCACCGGCGGCGGCGGAGGAGGTCGAGGAGAAATGCAGAGCGTGCTAGCTATGACCACGTCCGGCCGCGTCTTTGGCAGTTTGCTCGGTGCACCGCTCGCAGGGTACCTTCTCGACACGTTCGGTGGCGCCGGGTTCGGCACTGGCGCGTACAGACCTGCACTGCTCTTCGTTGGATGCATCTCGTTCTTGGCATGCGCGAGCCTCTACGGACTGCGGTGGAGCGTTGTTGGCTGGTCCATCAAGAAACGCGTCTGAGAGGAAGAGGAGGAAGTGCGGGATGTTTTGATTGCTGTTGGCTGTTGTACCATTATAAACTCGCATGGAATACGTCCGCGACGTCGCCGCAGCATCATAGCTGAATGAAGAGATCTGAAATCACCATGGCTGATACACTGAAACGTATGTTGATGCCGCAAATGGTCTGAGCAATCCACGATGTCACCGCTAGGAGTGTTATCCGCAAGTGGTGTTCACTGCCAGCTCGCGGGTTCACACTGCGCAAGCTCGTGGCGGTATTCTCCGCACTTCAGGACGAAGCAGGTTCCAAGCGGCCATCAGCCTGCTCACCGTCAGCCGATAAAATCTCTCTTTGGGCGTGCGGAAGATCGAAGAAGCGGAGCCGCTTTTTGAGACGACGGACGCGGCGCTCAATGCCGAGAACCCACGTGCATATCATGTCGCGAGAGATGAGGGCTATCTGTGCTCTGTCCTATTCTCGCGTCTCCAGCGGTGGAAGGAGGGTGGAAGGTGATGTAGGGAAAAAAAGGCTAAGAGGAGGATGAGGATGACGTCACAAATCTCCAGCTGACTTTTGCTCTCCAGCAGGCGCCCCTTTTGCGCCAGCCGTCGATATGAGCTCTAGCGGGCACCCTCTGAAAAGTATCCTATCCACTCCGTCACTTTGAAAAGAAAAGGTGCACAACCACGCCGCACGGAGGCCATGCAGCAGACCCCACGGACGGACAAGCAAAAGAGTGGGAAAGTAAAAGCGTTAATATTCTGCTGCTGCGGCATCAGAGGCTGATGTCGACCCATTCGAGTGTGATGCCCCGCAGCGACACAGCTGCGATGCAAACAATTCTCGTCGTCCGCTAATTCTTGGGTCCGCCAATCGCACGCACCTGCGCACCAGTCCCTCTCTCTCGCCAGCAAGCATATCTTTCTTCCTCTAATGCTTCCCTTCCCCAGGAGCGCATTGCCTACCCTCTCGCTTAAGCGCATGCCATTTGGTCCGTTGTCTGCGCGAAGGAGAAGCGCACCACGACCAGCTGTGGGGAAATGAGACCAAAGTGCTTACCCGTGTGCAGGTTATTTGACCCACACGCATGCGCACCGTCACGAGCAC